AGTATAGACAGTTATTAACTACGTAGTTTTATATTTAAATACAAAGCTGAAAACAGTATTTGTATTTGTATTTGTATTTTTGTTTTTGTACAGTATTTGTATTTGTATTTAAATACTTCCACGTTGTATTTGACCCAAGTCTGCTACAAGCCTACATCAGGTCAGAATACCGTATATCAGGTACATTTCAATGCATGAAAAGTGGTGGAAATATTAAGTTCAATGATGGAATAATTCGGAAGCCTTTTATATTCCGAAAATATTTTACTTGCTATTATTTCCATCAACCACCTGGCCTGGTAAGTCAATCGAAGCATTTGCTGACTTCTCCACTTCTGAATCAACCTTAGCAACACTTCTAACTGGCAAAGAAGGCTCTTTATGGCCTTCAAGTTAGACTAGAATGTAGCCATGGATAGTTATGAAGCCACGTGTTCATATTAGTTGCACAATACCACATATCTTCTATTCCTTTTTATCCGCATATTTTAAAATTTCATAATATTTATTTTCGCAATGGATTGCTTTTTCCGAAATTATTAATGCATTGAAATATACCCGATATACGGTAGATGCCATCATTACTCCATTATGTGCTTGCATAAATTACATTCTTGACATCAATATACATGTATATTTATATTCAAGCTGGTTGTTATTGCTTCATTGGTACATATTATTGTTCATTTTTTACGAGTAGCAGTACAGTTTCAGTGTGAAAACACCTTCAATATACTATGAACTCTCAAGTTAACAATTTTTAGTTTTAATGGACTACTCAGTGGGTATGTATTTTGCTAGCGTAGTAATTGGAACTAGACCATAATAGTAATAATAATCATAACGTCTTTGTTATATTGTCTGTATTGTTTTGTTTTGTATTCATGATAAATAAAATCACTCACGTTTTGTTGCAGAGTCATGCTTGTGTAGTCAGCTGTTATGTTATGTATGACATAATAAATTATTCATGTTTTCTCCCGAATTGCTAAGCATGCATAGAATATAACGTATTATTTTTTGCATAATTATATTTTTTGTAGGTAATCCAGTGTCAGCAGCTGTCCCTCTTGCATCATGGATATGCTTAATACTGGGAGTCATAGTGTCCTCAGTAATACTCTTCAAGCCAATATGGTGGGACAGGTAATGGTAAAGCAATCAGAACTTGGCATCTAGTTTTTGCTTAATATTTGCATAGATGCCTAAAGAGGTTAAAGAAAAGTGGCTGTTGTAACAGATGAAATCTTATGTTTACAAGAATGCAGAACTTTATCTAAAATATATCACATTAATGTAATATTGTTTATTATGAATTGAACAGTATCAATTGTCTTTGAACCTCAAGTATTAGATTTATTTCATCAAAAATTCTGATACACATTGATGCCGTCATGTTATCTATAAAATTTGAGTCAATTAACTTTTTAAAAATAAATAAATCATTTCACACATGGTAAAATCAAGACAGCTTTAATCACATAAATTAATAAAAAAGAGAACAAGATGCA